TTCTCTCTCTCAAAATTCATTCTCCATTTCTTTCTCTATAAAACCCAATTCTCTCTCTAAAATCTCAATCATCTCTAAAACCCATTGTGAATATTTTTCTTAAAAAACCCAATCTGCCCGGATCCAGTGGGCTTCCAGGGCCAGTTGGGCGACCCGGACCTGGTGGGTTACCCCGGACCCCGGTTGGCTACCCGAACCCACTAGGCTACCCGGACACCCTGGGCTAACCGGACCCATTGGGCTGCCCGAGTAGGGCTACCCGGACCCGTAGGGCTACCCGGACCTACTGGGCTACCCGGACCTACTGGACTACCCAGATCCAGCGGGCTACCTGGACCCAAAGGGCTACCCGGCCCAGAGGGCTACCCGGATCCAGTGGGCTACCCGGATCCAGTGGGCTACCCGGACCCAGTAGGCTACCCGGACCCAGTAGGCTACCCGGACCTAGTGACCCAGCAGACCACCCAGACCCAGCCGACCACCCGGTCCCAGTGACCGGACCCAGCAGACCACTCGGACCCAGCAGACCACCCGGATCCAGTGGGCTACCCGGATCCAGTGTTAGAGAGAGAGAAAGAGCAAGCCACCCAGACCGGTGTTAGAGAGAAAGAAAGAACAGACCACCCAGACCTACTGGGCTTCCCGGACCCAGTGTTAGAGAGAGAGAAAGAGCAGACCACTCGGACCCACTGGGCAACCCGGACCCAATGTTAGAGAGAGAGAGCAGACCACACGGACCTAGTGGGCTACCCAGACCTAGTGTTAGAGAGAGAGAGAAAGAGCAGACCACCCGGATCCACTAGGCTACCCGGACCTAGTGTTAGAGAGAGGGAGAAAGAGCAGACCACCCGGACTTAGTGGGCTACCTAGACCTAGTGGGCTCAGAACTGTTGTTGGAGAGAGAGAGAGAGCAGACCTGTTTGTTAGAGAGAGAGAGAGAGCAGACCTATTTGTTAGAGAGAGAGAGCGCACAGAGCTTTGGGTTTAGGTTTTCGTTCTTGTGTGTTAAAAGGGCTGAAGAATGGCTACTGCAAGGAGATGAGGAGGGGAAGGTACTAAGTGGGGAGGAGGGGGGTTTTGGAGAGGAGGCTGTGATGGAGGTGATGAAGGGGCTTGAGGCCGAGATAACCAGAAGTGGCTCTTCTTCCTCTTCCTGTGATGCTTACACCAGTGGAAATCATGAGACGTTCTGCCCGTCCTTCTTTGACTCAAAGACCACAGTCATGGCCAGCATCGACATGGCCGGGCTGGCTTTTCAGATGCCGAGTTCCAGCGAAACCGAGGAGTCAGGCAGCCAGATCCCCGCAGCAATCGAGCCGAGCTGCTCCTCCTCAATTGAAGATGCAGAAGATTCATCGTGGTGGTTGGGGATGAAAAGCTTAGGGAATTTCTCTTTGATGACTGATTTGCCTCAAAAGAGAAATAAGGAACTTCCTTTCTGCATCCCTTTTTTCTCTTCCTTTTTTTTCTAAGCCCATTGTCCTTTCATTACCTGTACATGTTACGTGTACCTGTTTTTCACACTTTCGGTTGGAGATGGCCTTGTCCAGTTCCACTCTATATCTTTTGCCAATGTTTCTCTCTCTAAAGCTGCAAATGGGTTTTTTCCCTCTAAAGCTGAAATTGTGTTTCTTCCCTCTAAAGCTGAAATTGTGTTTCCCCTTTGAGGAGGTGTTTCTCTCTCTAACATGGTAAAAGGGCTTTAAATGTGGGTCTTTCTCCTGAGAAAGGTTTCTCTACTAGTAAAGAAAAACACAATGTCGCTGCAGATGGGAGAGAAAAAGCGGTGGAGGGTTTTAAGGGGGAGAGAGAAAAGGCCGAGGGTTTGTTTTTGGGGCGGGGGGTGGCGAGAGAAAGCGGAGGGTTTTTAGGGAATAAGACTGAAGGTGGTTCCAAAGGTCAAAAGTAATTCGATATTAAAATTCACGACAGGTTGTCCCAGTCGATGCTTGCAATTTTCGGATTTTTAAAATGGATTGTCCAAAAAATTTAGATACACTCTAACCGTTTACTTACTCTCTATCCAACATTTTTTTTTTTGCTTGTATTTAAATTTTAATGAGATAAAATTGCTTTTTTTTTTCTTTCATCCCCTTTTATCTTTTCTTCTCTCTCTACATGTCCTCTCTCTTTCTCTATCTCTGTCTCTCTACTCTCTCTCACTCTTTTTCTCTCCATTTTTTTTATACAATCCAGAATGAAATGAATTTCTTTTTGCGGTTTGACTAGCAAACAAAATTTCGGTGCGACAAAATTCACGAACCTGCGATGAGGTAGGCCAAAGCGTCCCTTTGCTATGTAAAATCCCTCTCACTCGTTGGTATACCTATCCACACCCATCCACAGGCGTGGGTGCACGGCACACGTGCAGGACACAACGCCTCGCACCCCGCGGTTTTTTGAGAGGGGCGATGCCAGGCCGGGTAAATGAGGTCCCAGCTGCGACTCGATCGAGGCCCAACCATGGTCTAACCACGGTGTGCTATCTGTTGCCTCTATCTTATCTCTACACGTGACTCATAACGCTCAAGTGGATTTCCTTCAAAGATCCTCTCCTTCTATAGTTTCCGGCAGCAGTGAGTCCAAGGAACATTCATCCTTGTCAAATTAGGCCAATACTCAAAATCCGAATTAGGCCAATACTCAAAATCCGATCATCTCATCTGGCAAGGATAGGATATTCTTAGTTACTACCAAAGCTTTTACTAAAAGACCACACTGAAATTTTAGGATGAAATAGCTCGATATTGGATCATGACAAAAAAAAAGAAAGAACTACGCCTAGAATTAACCTTTGCTCAATTAGTCATTCAGTGCATTGAACCAGAAGATATAAAATCATTGTTAAACAAACTTAAGAGAAAATTAACGAACTAACTATCGCACTTTGAATGTGAATAACGAAGAAAAGTAACATAACAAAGTAAAATTATACAAGCTACATAACCAACACGATGAAACTATGGGAAGATAATTTTTCAATGATAAGGAAAATGTTCTTCTGAATTATCATGGTTCTTTTGCTAGAACCACAAAGAAAATTGAGGTGCAGTGGAGTGAGTCATTTTATTGTTGCCTTTGCAGTAGCATGCAATCCTGGTAGTCAAATTAGCAAGAGGTGGACTTGAAACGCTTGGGCTTGAATATGCTTCCTTGCTTAAAGAATGGGATGGGACATTTTTATTGAGAGCCGAAAAGGCCAAGCCTACATATAATGACCTCAAGAAAACAGTCCAAGAACTCATTGCAGTTGTTGCTTCTTTGGTTACTTCCATGGCCATAGAAGCAATAACTTCTCAGATGAAAGATAGACATGAAGATAAAAAACTAGCAGCCAGAAAGGATCGAAGCTGAATTATAATAAGGAAGCCCAGTGCTATTTGGCACATAGTCAAAAGAGTTGGTGTTGTAGGAGCGTATTATCCATTTATACCTTAGATAAATTTTAATTTTAATTTAATTGGGACCCAAATAATTGAGATGATGACGATAAAATTTTATTTAGTGTAATTTTAAGACTTCAAATATTAGGAATGTAATATTTTTAACCCATAGACTATCCTCAATAATTTATGGGTGTGGATTGTATAGAGCCTAGGCTCTAAACAATCAAATTAGAGCCCACCTTCAAATAATGTCGAGAAATGTGGTTTCAATATTGAAAATCTTTGTGATAGCCTTAAAATATATTTTCATCTTTAATTATAAAATTTAAAGCTTAAAAAATAATGTATATCAAGCAGATCTATGAAAACTTGAAAATCATGAAAATTGACAGTCTAAACAATCAAATTTGAGCCTACCTCAAAAATTTCACTAGAAGAGGTTGTTTTAATGAACAAATATCTTCAAATTGATCATCTTGACATCAAGATGTATGGACATGAGAAAAAATTGGATTTTAAGTTTTGGAAATAGTGTATTTTGTAACGTATTTTTGGACTGTCAATTTTCAAGATTTTTAAGTTTTCATAGATATGTCAATCTACACTATTTTTGAAGCTTTAAACTTTATAAATAAATATAAAAAATATATTTTAAGTCTATCACAAATGTTTCCAATATTGAAACCACATTTCTCGACACTATTTGAAGGTAGGCTCTAATTTGATTGTTTAGAGCCTAGGCTCTATACAAACCGCACCTAATAGAAAAATGGAGAGCTAGGGCAGCAGTCCTATCAAAATCGTAATGCCTCACCTCAAAACTCACTAAAAATTGCAGTGTTCCAACATTGAAAACATTCAAATAGATCATCTCAGTTTTGACTATTATGGTTCTGAAAAAAAGAAAAGAAAAGTATTTGAAGTGCTAAAACTAGTGTACATTGTAACACATTATCTAGACTATCAAAAAATAAGTGTTTATGGATCCATCAGATTTGAACCGATTTTGGTGCCTCAAATTTTACAGTTGATATTGAAAAATGTTTTTAGAGCCATCATGAGGATTTACTATGGCCAAAGTGCTTTACAAACAAGGATTTAAGGTGTAGCTTTACTTGTATCAATCATGCCTAGGCCTTATGTAGCTGCAGTAAACGTCTTAGATTGAATTAGGGCCGATCCAAGAGACACAATTGCATATCGTATTTTAATTTTAATTTTTTTTCTATAAGTCTAAATCACTTGAAATTTTAAACTTATATTCTTAAACATAGGCAAATCTAATAAAAATATCAAAATAATAATTTACAAAAATTAAGATATTATGTTTAGGGGTATTTTGATCAATTTAGTTTTTATAAATAAATTTTTAATAGTTTTATTAAGTTCGCCTCGATGAAAAGATAGTAGACACCTCAAATTTCATATAATTTGAATTTATAGAAAATAAATTTAAAATTCAAATATGCTCTATACTCTCGAAAAGTAAGATTTAATAGTAAAATATGATATATAAGAGTATTTTCCCAATTTTAAAATAAAAACAAAAATTTTCCATGGGCCGATGGAATAAATCAGGCATCTTATGAATCAACACTTAGCTATCTTCCTCCATTAGCTTCTCTCTAGCAAATTATCCAAGAACTCTACTTAGCATGTGAATTATTGGCCTATGGCCTATAAGATGATACGTCTCTCTCACAGTTTGTTTCAATCAAGTCTTAGGAATATTGATGCACTCATATTCTCATCTCTTTTGAAAATTCAGAACCTTGACGGAGAAAGCAAAGATGAATGCAAAGAGAACTGTAAACCCAATAGTCATAGCTGCAACCGCCCCCAGGAAGTTGTGATCGAATCCGTAATAGTCATTCACGAATTCGGCAACCGTTTCGTTCTTAAATGAGGCACCTGCATCTTCAAAGGTGGTATGTACATCTCCAAATTGAGAAGCAACCAGGCCATACAGGGTCCATGCAACTGGGCATGCCCACGCATACCATCTCCACCATGCAGGCAAACTCTGTAACCAATAGGACAGATAGGATTAATCAGAGAGAGATAGGCAACTTTTTGTCAAAGTCAGGGTAAATATTGGAGGTTAAAATTTGGAATGACTGGTTTTTTGCAAGGTTCTTTAACTCACTTCGGGCCTCAGACGAGCCTTTGGCCCGACCTGATAGAAGATGAAAAAAGTATGTAAAATACGGACTACTGATAAATTAATCTGAAATATTTTAGAAAAATAAGAAAGTACAAAAATAACTTGACCAAGTCCGAGTCCGAGTTGCTGAACACTAGTTTTTAGTGATTAAGTTTTATAATTACAGTGGAGGGAGGGAGGGGGGTATCATCTTTTGGTCAAACTGGGAGTTTGGATTGGATGGTTTTTATTGATTTAAGTTTTATTATTGCATTTGCAAGGTACACTGGGAGAGGGAGAGAGGAGCTTGAAACAATTATTTCTGAATTTTTTCAATGTTTCAATCTATTAATTGGTTATTTCAATAATCCATTTTCTATAATTTTTTCTTCCTACACTTTTTCATGCCTTTCATAAGTTTTCCACTATTTTTATTTTTAACAATTTTTAAAATTTCTTTTGCAATTTTTAAGCCCTTCAGGGTCAGAAAAGTCCATTCCAACTCATGCCCATGTTACTCGGCTTGGGCAGGGACTCATCCTGAGCAGAGAAGAGTAATTTTACTTAGGTTCGTAGAGATACAAAGCAGCAAGAAGAGAGAAACATACCGCTCTAGGAATGAAGAATCCGGAGAAGAGGTTCCACGTTCCATTGAAGGCTCCGAACACAACGGACGCAATGTTATTATCGGGAGTCATGGCAATAGTCATCATGCCGAAGTATGTGAAGTACATAAAGAACATGTACGAGAAGAACTTGGCAGTTGTCCATTCAAATGCTATCATTGCATACACTATCACCCCATAGAGTAGTGCTTGAACCAATATATATGGAATCTCTATAATAATCTGCATTTAAATTAACATATTGTGGAAAAGTAAGTGTATTGCACCATAAGTTACTCGTAACAGTGTTTCAAAACTCAGCAGAGTCAACTTGGACTCGGCCTCAGCAAGGTGCTGATGTAAGTAAGTGTATTGCACCATAAGTTACTCATAACAGTATTTTAATACTCAGCAGAGTCAACTTGGACTCCCCCAAATACATCGGCCTTGGCAAGGTGCTGATGTGAGTTTGCATGCAGAAGATTGGGATTTTATAGAAATTACGTAGTTTCTATAAAAATTAATATTACCATATCATTAATAGCTTGTAAACATGTATTTATATATAATTTGTATTATTTAACATGAATTATGAATTTGTATTATTATAAGTTCTATTTTCCTAATTTTTCCCTTTTTTGAATTTTTCTGAATTCTTTCAAGCTATCAAATTCTTCCATATTCCATCTTTTATGAAGTTTTCTTTCATCTTTTATGTACTTTTAGCAAATTTTCAATTTGGTTGCAATTTTGCTCTTTTTTGGTCTTGTATACTACTCTGCGAGTCTACTTGGACTAGCCAGAGTACTCAGCTTGGGCAGGGGAGGAGTTCCGAGAGTGAGCGGAGTTTCTAAATCTTGACTTGCAATGTTGCATTATCTTGTAGGCTCTAGCTGCATATAGAGTGCTTCAGTGTCGTAAAATGAGTAAATTTTAGCGTATGTTCTTTATATAAGATAAAGCTGAGAAAATAAGCTTTGCTTGCCTACTGTGCCTTAGATGGAACTGAATTGAGCTTAATGAAGACTCAGATTTATCTTTTTGAATGGAAGTTCTCTGTATTTCCTAGAATTCTTATCCTTTAAGAAACTTACTTTTGCATTGTGACTAGATTTGCTAACCTGTGCAATGGCATATGGTAGAGCTGAATACATTCCGGCTGCCCTTTCTCGATAGAATACAAGTCTTTCCACTGAAACTACTGGCTGAACCGAATAGGCATTGTTACTTCCAATGAATAGAACAGAAGCATACATGGAACCCATTGCATTGAAGAGATCCTGTGGGTTAGCCCTGCAAAATACATTCTACGAACCATCAATTATGGTTGTAATGATTTGAAAGTCCAGTTAGTCTTCTCTCTCTCTCTCTCAACACGACAGTCCATCTTTTAGAGGAATTTTCACACCTTTTGAGCCAAGATCCCAAAGCATGGTCCCAATCAATAAGGTGATGAAGAAGGTGAAGATGAATTTCATGGCCGTATAAGAGGGGTTGCGCCAGTAGGACCAGTGCTGTTTCCATAAGCAAGCCAAGCACTGCGTGAGGAATGACTGAGAATACTGAGTAGGGAAATAGAGGTCTTCCGAGCCTGGGGGTGGTGAACTCAGTGCTTCAATCATTTCCTTGTTTTTCCTGTAACAATATTGAATTTCAAGTTGGAAAGTAGATTAAATGAACCAGATACAGAGCATTAAATACAATTAAACCCAGAAAAAGAAAACCCACTTATTGAAAAGAAGAAGAGAATAAGTACAATGGAATAAAATATAAATAAAATCACAATCATTGAGTTGATGGGGTAAGTTATTACCTATAAAAATCAGAGTTCTTGTATACTTCAGCAAAACTAACCCCTAAAATATCTTCTTGTGCCTCAGATGTGGCCTCAAGCATCCAAGTTGCAGGATTGTAGCCTTCTTTTATCTTGATGACTCAATTGATTCCCTTCACCAGATATGGCTGAAGTCAGGCAATTGTAATTGCAATTGTGTACGTATATGCATACATATGGAGGCTTGTATTGTGTGTGTATGTGGATGTTACATTAATCCATGAAAATTACTATTTTATTTGACCTCACCTCAAAGTATTCAATGAGATGGAAAGAATGGGATCTGAGGGGGCCGGCATAAATTGCTTCACCACCAGTCTTCATGAGGAAAAGCTGGAATCCAATCAATCAATGGCAGGATTATTTCATCATATGAAATGATAAATAAAATAAATAAATCCCTTCAAAATTTTTTATCAGTGTAGAACCCTCTTAAATTTAGTTGGTTCTGACCTCATCAAATGCATCAAATATATCAATGCTAGGCTGGTGGATAGTACACACTACAGTTCTTCCAGTATCAACAGTGTTCCTAACTGTTCTCATCACAATAGCAGCAGCCCTGGCATCAAGACCAGAGGTTGGCTCATCCATGAAAATAATGGAGGGATTGGCCACAAGCTCCACAGCAATGGTAAGCCTCTTTCTTTGCTCAGTCGAGAGACCGTTCACTCCACGCAACCCCACTAGAGCATTCCTTACCGACTTTAGTTCTATGAGCTTCATGACGTCCTCAACAAACGTCTACAAAAACCAGCTTATATCAGTTGGACAAAATATATATATCTATCTTTAATATACAAAATGCGAGTTCTCGAGCATTTTGTGTTGTATATGTCAGATTTTGAAGAGAGTGGTCTGGGTAAAGGAGAATTATAGAATGTATAATGTGGTGGTGGAGTGGTGGA